AGAAGGTAAAACCAGATGCTGCCACCACGAGCCTCCCCGTTGTAGCACCTCACTCACCCCAAGGTCCCCTTCTGCTCCTCCTGCAGGCACCAAGGGCACCTTCCAGCTGTCGGTGCTGCAGGACGGGCCAGCGGACAGAGCCGGGGTGCCACCGGGCTGCTGGCTGCTGGAGCTCAACGGGGACAGCGTCAAGAGCTACTCCCACGCCCAGCTCACCAGAAAGGTGCCTGCTCCCGCCGTGGGGGGCGAGGGATGGGGCTGAGAACGTCACTGAGAATGTCACCCGTGCTTCCCATCCAGCTCAAGCAGAGCGGCAACAAGGTGACGCTGCTGGTGGCATCCAGCGCCGTGGAGGAGTTCTACCGCCTGCGGGGCCTGCGGGTCACGGCTGCCCTGGCTGACACCTCCAGGCTGCCCTTCAAGGTCCGGGAGCTGCACCTGGTGAAGGGTCCTGCTGGCTATGGGTTCCTGCTCAAGGAGGATGACTGCAGCTCGGGAGGAGTAGGTGAGAGGGGCAGTTTGTATGTGAGCAAGGCGTTTCTGAGGGTTGGGAAGAGCTGACAGCTCTGTGCCTGCAATGGGACCTGTCCCCACCCTGAGTGGGGCAGTTTGTATGTGAGAAAGGCATTTCTGAGGGTTGGGAAGAGCTGACAGCTCTATACCCTGTCCCCACCCTGAGAGGGGCAGTTTGTATGTGAGAAAGGCATTTCTGAGGGTTGGGAAGAGCTGACAGCTCTATACCCTGTCCCCACCTGCACACGGGGGTCAGCAGAGCCAGTTCCTCTCTGTGAGCCTCTGTCCCCTCCCTGTGCTGTGGCAGGCCAGTTCCTGTGGGATGTGGATGTGGGGCTGCCAGCAGAGCAGGCGGGGATGAGGGAAGGGGACCGAGTGCTGGCCGTGAACGGGGAGAGCATCGAGGGGCTGGACCACGAGCAGACGGTGCACAGGATCCGCGCCCGGGAGGATCAGGTGACGCTGCTGGTCATCGACCCCGCTGGGGACGAGTTCTACCACTCGGTAGGTCCTGGGGCCACGCTCCTGCTCTGGCTGGGGAGCCCTGGGGTGCTGTGGGGCTGCACAGTGGGATGGGTGTCCCCCACAGGGGCTGTGTGTCCATCCCTCTTCTGCTCTTCCAGATCGGGCTGTCCCCCCTGCAGTTCTTCGAGGACAGCGACCCCGCCTCAGGCTCCTGCTCGCCCTCCCTGCCTTCTCGAAGTGGCTCCCCTGCACCCTGTGACGTTGAGGTGGCACCCAAGGGACCTGTGTCCTGGCTGATGGCTGCTGCCAACAGCATAGAGATCATACAGGTAACTGCTCAGGGCAGTGCTCACAGCCTGGCAGGGCTCTGAGTGCTGCCACCCTCCAGTTCCACCCATCCCAACATTTCCTGGCACCCGTGGTGCTGCCAGGAGGAGGCTGTGTGCTCCCCTGGCCACAGGGCCGGGCAGAATGACCCCTCCAACCTGTGTCCCCGCAGAGCCAGCGCCAGGAGGAGCACACAAAGCTGTGCCAGGCATTCTAACAGCCCAGGAGCCTCTGGACAGGCTCTCCCACACAGCACCTCCACCCAGGCCACGGGCAGCCCTCGGGCTCAGCACTGCTCAGCATGGACCCTGCACACGCAGCTCCTGTGTCTCCATGCCTGGCTCACAGCATGACCCTCCCAGGGACTCGTCTCTGCCCACCCAGGCTGCCTCAGAGCTTGTGCCAACCACACTGGCAGCTCCTCCTGCCCTGACCACAGAGCTGTGTCTTTGCCTGCCCAGCTACCTCCAGGGATTGCTCAGGACATTGCACTGAAGCCCTTGCCCAGCTCCAGGCTCTGGGAGTTCCCAGGAGAGCTGGGGTGCTGCCCCTCTGCACCATGAGCCAGGGGAATCGAGGGCTGGCTCAGATCTGCACGTGCATGGACATCTCTCCTGTGCTGCTCCTCTCCCTGAACCTGTGGGCACTGAGTGTCCAGCAACCAGCACCACCCTGCTCCTGCACCACCCTTTTGGGGTGATTAAAGGACAAATCCACGCTGCTGTTTGTGTGGGTGATGTTGTGGGCAGCACTGTGACTGGGCAGCACATCCCAGGGCCAGATCCATCCTCTCTTCCCAAGCCTGGAGTTGGGCAGTGGAAGGTCTCCAGGTGTGCTGCTGGGAGGGTGGGGGCTGAGAGCCAGCCTGAGAGCCCCTGGGCATTGTACCTGTAGGAATCTGAGAGCAAACTCCTGCAGGCATCCCCTGTGCTCCACAGCAAGGGCTGTTCCTGAGGGTGCCCCTTGCAGGTGACACATCAGGAGCATCCTGAGGGTTCCCTTTGCAGGTGACACATCAGAAACATCCCAAGGGTTCCCCTTGAGGGGACACCAGGAGCATCCTCATGGTTCTCCTTGCAGGTGACACATCAGGAGCATCCTGAGGGTTCCCTTTGCGGGTGACACATCAGGAGCATCCTCAGAGTTCCCCCTTGAGGGGACACCAGAAGCATCCTGAGGGTGACACATCAGGAGCATCCCGAGGGTTTCCCTTGCAGGTGACACATCAGGAACATCCCAAGGGTTCCCCTTGAGGGGACACCAGGAGCATCCTGAGGGTGACACATCAGGAGCATCCTCAGGGTTCCCCATGCAGGTGACACATCCATTCCCGCCCATTGTCACCAGGGTGGTGACAATGCTGGGGGAGGGGGCCCAGGGGGGGGATCCCAGAGGGGAAATTTCACCTCTCTGCCGAGCGTGGGAGAGTGAAAACGAGCACAGAGTTTTGCATGTGGCCAAGAACCACAAACCTCTGGCTGAGGTTTTACCTCGGCCCCTTCTCAAGCGTGAACAGAAGCGCCACACTGGAGTCCCTGCCTCGTGTCCTCTGGGCTCAGGGCAGGCAGCTGGGGGGCAAAAAGTCCTTGTCCAGAAATTTTGGGAGCTGACAGCCTGGGAGGGAGCAGGGCTGGCAGCTGCAGGCTGGTTTGGGGGTGAACAGTCAAGGGAGAGGTGGGAAAATCATTGCTGGGAGCCCCCATCAGCACCAAGGTGTGGGGTTCCTGCATCAGCCCCAATAATCCCAAGTGAAACCCTCCCAAAAGTCCCAAGTGAGACAGTCACAACAGTCCCCAGCAAAATCAACCTTTGCTTGAAGTCTCCCAGCCCCAGCTCGGGGTGAATCATGCCCAGAGAAGCAGATAGTCAGGAATGCAATTACTCAAGCGTGTTCCCTGATTCTTTGGATCAGAGCCATGGTGATTTTTGTACTTGGCTCTCACAAAGGCGGTGTTGCCCTCCCCAGTTCTCTCCCCAGGTAGTTGTGGTAGCGTGGAGCTGGCCAGGGCACCTGCTGGTGGTCAATCCTGCTTGACTATTAGCCAGAATCCATTAGCACCTAATGGGAAAAGCCTCAGGAACACGGCCTCAATAAACCATGACATATTTGAGGTCAATATAATCCTTAGGAAAATTTGCCCAGGTAATTAAAGCCAGACAAGGAGTTGCCTGTCCCAGAAATATTTACCAAGCTTTACCAAAGGCAATAAAATGAAGGCAGGCAGTTTTATAACCAATCCATGCTGGGCTCCCTTGTTGTGTTTAGTGCAGCTTCCTGCCCTGCTGTCCATTTGGCTCCTCAGCAAGTGGGTGCCACAAAGCTCCCTGCAGGAGGCTGGATCCAGAGGTTGGGGCTGTGCTGTCCAACCTCCAGGCCCGGGTTTGGGGTGCTCGTGTTCCCCAAACTGATGTGGGCAAACCCACAGTTTGCCTTTGCCTGGCTTCCTGTCACAGCCCCTGTGGCAGCAGCCACAGCTGCTTTTTGCAAAAGGATGTGTTCTTCTGCCTGGAGAGGAGATGAAAAGAGGATCTGAAGGCAGCAAAGAAACAGAACTCAACTGACTCTCAAGCCCATGTTGTAATTTTTTTAAAGGTTTAGTGGTGTCAGCTCTGAACTCACTCCCTGGTTCCCTTTAGATTCCCTGCTCCCCTCTTCTCTCCCCGGTCCCTTTTCACTCCCTGGTTCCCTTTTTTCTCCCTTGCCTCCTTTTGACCCCTGGTTCTCTTTTCTCCCCCTGGTTCTCTTTTCTCCCCCTGGTTCCTTTTCTCCCCCTGGTTCCTTTTCTCTCCCTGGTTTCCTTTTCTTTCCCTTGCCTCCTTTTGACCCCTGGTTCCTTTTCTCTCCCTGATCCCTTTTTCTCTCCCCCTGGTCCCTTTTCACTCCCTGGTTCCCTTTTCTCTCCCTTGCCTCCTTTTGACCCCCTGTTTCTCTTCTCTCCCCCTGGTCCCTTTTCTCTCCCTGGTCCCCTTTTCACTGCCCAGTCCCATTTTCTCTCCTGGTCCCCTTTTCTCTCCCTGTTGCTCTCACTACCCGGCTCCCGCTCCTTCTCCGGTTGGAGCCGGGATGCCGGGAACGGGGACTCAGCCCCGGTGGGCTCTGCCTCCCTTGCTTTGCGGCGAGAGGTCTCAGGTACCTGCCATGTGCACCGGACGCTCTCCCGTTCCCATCCCCTCCCCGCCGCTGCCGGTGCCGCTCCAGCCTCGGGCACATCCCTCAGCGGGAGAGGGGGGGTGCAGCGCCGCTTCCCGCGTCGGGGCCGTTCTTAGAAAAGGGAACGCGTGTCCAGGAAAGCGGAAGCGCTGCGGTTTCGCAAGGCGGCCACGGGAAGGGCCGCGAAGGCCGCGGGTCCGTCCCGGGGGCGGCGGGGCGAGCGCGGCCCCCGCGTTCCCATGGCGACCGCGCCCCGCCCCGCCCCGCCCGCACCAAGCATGGCCGCCGCTCCGCCCTCACGCCGCCACACCGCGCATGCGCTTCTCTCCGCGACCAATCAGCGCCGGCTCCACCCCGGGGGAGGGGGCGTGTCCGGGCGCGCGGGGGGGAGAGCGACCAATCAGCGCCGGCGAGGAGGGCGGGGCCTCGCTGGAACGGGGCGCCGCCGCCGCCGCCACCGCCCACGGCCGCCGCCGCCGCCCTGCCCGGCCCGGCCCGGCCCGGAGCGCCCTCAGCCCGGTCCCCTCCAGGACCGCGGCCCCGGTGCCGGACGGGCCCCACGGGCCGGCTGTGGGCGCCCCCATGTCGGCGCCGCTGAAGAAGGGCCCCGGCGGGCTCATCGGGCTGATGAAGGACGCGTTCCAGCCGCACCACCACCACCTCGGGCCGCACCAGCCCGGCGCCGTGGACAAGAAGATGGTGGAGAAGTGCTGGAAGCTCATGGACAAGGTGGGGAGGGCGCTGGGGTGGAGAGGGGTGGCTGTGGCACGGGGCTGGCCTGAGGGGTTCGGGGCTCTGGGGTCAGGGGGGATCTGGGGTGAGCCTGGAATTGTGGAGGTGGCTGGGAGGGAAGGGGCTGGGGCTCCAGGGGGATATCGGGGGGTTCAGGGGGGATATTTGGGGGGGCTCAGGGGTGTGTGGGCACAGAATGGGGGGCAGAGCTTTGGGGGAAGGATGTGGTGAGCCTGGAGTGGCAGCACAAGGGGGAATGGCTTGGCACTGGTGGGATATTGGGAATTAGGAATTGTGCCCTGGCAGGGTGGGCAGCCCTGGTACAGGGTGCCCAGAGAAGCTGTGGCCGCCCCTGGCAGTGCCCAAGGCCAGGCTGGACAGGGCTGGGAGCAGCCTGGGGTGGTGGAAGGTGTCCCTGCCAGGGACAGGATGGGATTTAAGGTCCTTCCAAGCCCAACCATGCTGTGATTCCATGTGGAGCCTGCTGCGGAGGTGAGCCATGGAGGGGAGGCAGCACCAGGACGGGATGGCAGCATGGGAAGGCGTGAAGGGAGATCAGCAGCTCTGCAGGGAACAAGGTGGAGGAAGAGGGGGCAGTTTGGAATGGAGGGTTTGGAAGTACCTGAGAAGATCTGGGATGCTTCCCCAGGGCAGTGGTCACAGCCCTGAGGCTGCCAGAGCTCAGCATTTGGGCACAGGGTGGGATTGTTGTGCAAGGCCAGGAGTTGCGCTGGATGGTCCTCGTGGGTCCCTTCCAAGGCAGGATATTCTGTGATATCTGTATTAATGATATACATGTACAGATAATTCCAGTATTCTGTGATATCTGTATTAATTATATACATATATAGATAATTCCAGTCCTGTAGGTGCTGGGCTGGGCACTGATGGTGCTGGTGGGGAGCTGCAGGTGGTGACAGCAGCAGGGCAAGGGAGAAGTCCAGGATTTGCTCCTTGGAAGCAAATAGAGCCTGGTGTGTGGGTAATGGATGGTGAAGCTTTGTGACAGGCCAGGTTATTCCTTTTGGAATGTGTTGCTGCACTCAGGACAAAACCTTTTCCTTAAAACTGAGGGAAAACTGTGAAAGCCTGAATAAACCCTTGTGCAATCAGTACTTAGAGGAAGATAAAGCATCAAGTGATGTTTAACAAGAAAAACTTGTGGCGTGGGAGCTGGCAAGGCCTTCTTCCAGCCCCACACCTTCAGGAGGGGCTCTCTGGGGTCATTAAGACTCTCCACTCCTCCTCCTCCTCCTTTTCAAATGCCAGGAAATGGCTCTTGCCGGGGGCAGGACACCAGACCTTTTGGCCTGTTGGTGTGATGGGATATTTGATTTACTGGCCTGGCTAGGTGTGCTGCTCGGTCCAGGGTTTCCAGAAATGCTGGGGGGTTTTCAGGGAATGGCCAAGTGAGTGAAAGCAGGCACACAGAAATAAAAATGGAACATTTTTGTGGAATTTTCATTGATAATTACTGTTCAACCCTGAAATCAAGGCTAGGCTTGGCATGCTGCGGTCTGAAATGTGCAGTGCAGTTTATGGCACTGGGTTCTGGGCCCTACAAGTGGTGTAGAGTGAGAGCATCACCCAAGTTGCCCCCAGGCCTTGGGGACTGTCACCTGGCCACCTCCTCCCCTCTGGGAGCAGAGCAGGCAGGGATTTTGGGCATCCCTCATCCAATTGCCCCTCAGGCTTGTGCATTTCCCTTCCCTTTCCCCTGCATTGTTTATCCATGCGGTGGCTGAGCCTCCTGCAGTAAGTGCTAAAAGCAGGCAGAGCAAATGACTTCTTTAAAGGAGTATTAAATCCCGTTCCTGCCAAGAAATCACTCTGTGTTGGCCAGCCCCACACAAGGCAGGGTTTATGGTTGTGCCTTGCTGTGCCTGTGATGAGCTTTGATCACCTACAGAGACTGGGGCAGAGCAAAAAACCCCTTTGAGAGGTGCCATTGGCTCTGTTACACACTCTGAGGGCCAAGTGCTGGTGTAGGAGAGGCAGCTTGGGCACGGAAACAGGACCCTAAATAAGTGTAACCTGTAAGAATGCACATTTTCACCTATAGAATATATAGATATAGATGGCAACTTGTGTTTGAGCTCATGACCTGCTCTGCTCGAAGGAAAAGATTAGCCTGAATAAAAAGCTGATTATTGTGGCATTTTAAAATGCAGCAGGGTGTTTTTTGGGGGGAAATTTCACAGCTTTAGGTCTTTATAGCAGGTTGGGTGTGTTCTCTCTCCAGTGACAGAAAAGCCAAGGCTGCTGCTGTATTTGTCACAAGTTACATCAACCTCTTTTACTCCAGGTTTACTCACAGGCAGCATCCAGAAGCTCTCAGGCTTGAAGTCTTGCTCAGTCTGATGTGTACAAAAGGAGAGTTCTGGCTCTGAAAAGCCTTTCAGATTTCAGTTAGATTTCAGCTGTACTTATGCACACTCAAAGAACACATCTGAATTAAAATCTCTTTAGTGGTGTAGCAAAAACCCAGCGAAGCTCACGGTGAGGAGTGCTAAATGAATGGAAGGTGTTGAGAATGGGTGAGATTTCTGGGCCAGGAAGATGAAATTCCAGGTGCAGATAAAAAACCTGCCTGTGTGCATGTTTAATAGATGATGTTTTTGCCTCTCAGAGCTGCGTGCTGTGTCTGTGTGGGTACACCACGCTCACGACCTCATTTGTTAGTCTGCATAATTAGCTGCTGTTGTCAAAGCATTCGTGCATCTCTGCTTTGGGATGTGACTGATGAATTTCCTATGCAAGTTGATTCTTGTCCAAATATTTTCCCTGTAATGCTCTCCATAAGCTGCCTGACATATTTATGTCTTTCAGATTCTTTCATTTGAAGCCTTAATTTTTTTGTCAGTGCCATTCCTCCCACAGCTGCACGTGGTCACGCAGAGCACGGACATAAAATATCCCTTCCCATCCCTGCTGGATGTTCCCCTTCAGCTGAATGAGGTGACATTTCTGCATTTCTCTGCAGAGCAGAGATGAAATGCAGCCCCCTGGAGTTACTGCTGTGGGTGGTATTTGAGGAATAGGTGGGTTAGTCATGGAGCAGAGTGCAATAAATGTGGGAAGGAACAGAGGAGGAAGAGGAGCTTTGAGATAAAGCTTCCCTAAAGGGTTTCCTGATACCATTCAGTTCCTAGAACTGATATAGAGAAGTGCCACTGCAGGTCACCTTCATTGTGAGGAGAAGAAAGGCCAAACACAAGTCTAGCAAGAGATAAGAGATGCTTGAGAAGGTTTTGTTTTGTTGCACTGGAATGAGGAGTGATCTTAGTGCAGCAAAGGAAGGAAAAAATGAATTTTCAGAACTGCCCTGAGAGAGAAAATCATACCTGGGAGTAGCCCCTGGATGCTCATCAGGCCTGGGACTCTTAAATCCAGAATTAGTCAAGGCAAGCTGCAGATTGTTGAGGGGAAAGATTCAATTCCAGGCCTCAAAGATGTAGATGAGATTATTTTTCCTAGAGTGAGTACATAACAGATTCTTTCCTCAAAACTCAGTTGGGAAAACTGGTTTTTGACTTGCATTTGGAAAATGGAAATGGGTGAAGTCAATTTTCAGGTTCTTCACAGGCCCACCTCTCTTCATGCTGAGCTTTATTGGTGTGTCTGAAAACCCAAAAACATCTCCCTAAATGGTTTGTTCCTCAGAGAACCCAACATGAGCCAGGCAAATTTTGGATGATAATTTAAACCCGTGGATTGCTTCTGTTTGTTGCCATCACACCTAAACAAAAAAATATTTTTCTGCTTTTTTGCTCAATTTCCTTCCACGTTGCTGGTCCCTGTGGAAGGCTGCTGAGGGGCAGCTGTTCCCAGGGCTGGGAACATTCCTTTGGATGTTGTCGTGATGCTGCAAGTGCACACGTAGAGAAACGAGGAAAATGCCACAAAATGCTGTTGTTGCTGCTGTGATGTAAAAACCCCAAGTTTGCTCATGAGGCAGCAGTTCTTAGTTATGCAGTTTTGTTTAACTGCTCATCTTAGCTAATTTTGGTCTGCTTGGTAAATAAAGAAGCTGATTTGATAATAAAATACCAGCAAGTTTTGACCTTTCTGTTAACTGTTTGAGGAATCTGCTTCTTGGGAAGCATTTTACAGGGACTCTGAGAATGAGCAGTTTGCAGGACTCTCTGCTGCTGTGGGGGAATTGTTTTCATTGATATCAAAGTCTGAAATGCAGCAGGTCTGCTGCCTCCATAGCTGGGTAATTTCAGAGTGTAGCAGCCAAATTGTTCTCTATTTCCAGCAAGATGAGAGAAGTGCAGGCTCTGCTTGCTTCATGTGCTTCCTCCTCAGAGCTGACTGTGTTTGTTAACGTTTTTAACCCACTGTATAATAAACAATTTCTGCTGAAAAGCTTTTGCTGCCCAGAGCACTGCTCAGCTGAGGAGCAGATTTAGAACCTCTTCATGCTCACAGTGAAACTATTTTTTTTTTTTTTTTCAGGGGACAAATGTGTTGACTCAATTTGTTGATATGGTTCAGTGTACAATGTTCACAGGCTCCAAGGAAGCAGCAGTTGAGGCATCAGCATCAATTGACTAAATCAGCTGTCTGGCCATCCATCTCTTTATCTCAAGGCCTTGGCAGCCTCCTCAAAATGGAGGGAAAGTTTTAGTCGTTTGTTTTTCCCATGTATTCTTGCAGAGGCTTTTTTAGGTGTTTATTATTTTTTTTTTTTTTTGCCAGCAGTCTGATTTTTCTGGTTGGAGTTTGGATACACTGTGTGCCTTTCTCTTGGCTGGAATTGAACCTTTCTCAGGTCAGCTCTTGGTACAGGCACTGCTGTAAGTCAGATAAAATTGGAGGTGTCACTTCACAAGGTTGCTTTTTGCACATACCCTAAATGGCAAAGTGAAAAGCTAAAGCAGTGTTTCAGGAGGAATGACTCTGTTTACCATCTATATTTAAGGGAAGTAGGTATTTAAGCCTGCGCTGTAGGGAACTGCTCAATTCCTCTTGAAAGTTTCACAAGGTTTTGTGGGAATGAGATGCTGCAGAAGGATGTTAAACTGTTCTTTTGCTTTTTCTTATCCACTTTACTGAAGTTTTGCATTCTGCACTGTTTGATATCTGTAATTCCCTCAGTGTCATGAGTTTAGGCCTCATTTATATGCAGGGTGTTAAGCAGCCACATGAAGTTCATTATAGGGAAGAACTTTAGCAAAGTGTGGCTACATTTTGTGCTCAGGCTTGCTGGAAATCACAGAGTATAGAAGTGTCAGACTGCTGCTTCTTACCTTGTACACTTGATCCAAAACTGACCTCACAACTCTAACTCCAGCCCTTTCTAGAACTGAAAATTCACTATTTAATTTTTTCAAATGGCTGTTTTGCCATCAACTCTCCCTTTAATTCTCTGAGTTTAGACAATGGAAACATTTGGCTATGGCGGATGGTGAAGTGGCTTCCTTTCCCCTCCCCTGTCACATCAATTTATTCTCGTGAGTTTCATCAGTCCACATACACTTCAGCCCAGAAATTGCATTCTTTTATGGTGGCTGGGCTCAGTATCTGGAGAAAAGGAGGCTCAGGGGAGACCTGATCACTCTAAAACTCCCTGAAAGTTGGAGTGAGCTGGGGTTGGGCTCTGCTCCCGGGACAAGAGGAAAGGACCTCAAGCTGTACCAGGGAAGGTTCACCAGGAGGGGTTTCTCCATGGAAAGGATGGTCAGGCTTTGGAAGGGGAGGTGGTGGAGGTATCCAAGGAATGCTCTGCTCTAATTGGTGAGGTGGGGACCGGGTTGGACTCAGTCTCAGAGGTTTTTTCCAGCCTCAGTGATTCTGGGATTCTGTGATCCCATCTGGACTTGCCCAGCAAATTACGACAAACGTGTGACTTGTGTTTAACCGCTGCTCGTGCTCCTCTCCTGGAGTTTTCACAGAGCTGCTCTCTCCAATGCCACAGGTGGTACGTCTGTGCCAAAACCCCAAGCTGGCCCTGAAGAACAGCCCTCCCTACATCCTGGACCTGCTGCCTGACACCTACCAGCACCTGCGCACCATCCTGTCCCGCTACGAGGGCAAGATGGAGACCCTGGGCGACAACGAGTACTTCAGGGTCTTCATGGAGAACCTGATGAAGAAAACCAAGCAGACCATCAGCCTCTTCAAGGAGGGGAAGGAGAGGATGTACGAGGAGAACTCCCAGCCTAGGTAATGGAGAGAAATGGGTTCAGGTGTTTGTTGGAGGAATTAAATGCGTTGGACGCTTTGTGTTTAAGGTAGATCTGGTGTCAGCGCCTTTCATTTTGTACAAAGGCATAGCTGAGGTCAAGGGGCACCTTCAGGTTGAGCAGCATTAAAAAAGGGATAGGTGGAGGTAGAAACTGAATATAAGGCTCTCTTGAACAAAACAATATTAACTTAGTGTACCTGAGAAGGTGTTTCCTCATCCAGCTTTAAGAAAAGACAAAATGAATGAAGAGTAGAGTAAAGCTCTTGGAAATATGAATCTTACACATTTGTGCGGAGATATACAAGGCATGCACTTGTAACACTAAACTCATTTCAGCTTTTTGGAGTAGATGTTGAATTAAAAAAAAAAGGTGGAAAAAATGTGAAAACCACCCAGTGGCTGAACATAATTGCCCTGGAGAGAATGTGGTTAACAGCCTGGCAACAGCTGGGAAGTGCTGGAGGGGGAAAAGTGTTGGCACGTGTTTCTGGTTTAATATTGAACTCTGTGTAGCATATTCCATGATATTGAGCTCCAACCAAAGGCTGTGACAGTGGCTCCAGAAGGCATTGCTGGTGCTGCTTGGATTGCTACTGCCTGTGTTGAAGAACGGTTTAAAAAATGGAAATTCCTTTCTGGAGTGCTGTTAACTGTGTGTGTATTGTGATCTGTCATAAATCTGGAGCATCTGATGGGTAAATGGTGGCTGTGTCAGTCATGAATCCAAAATCCCACCTCCAGTGCCTTGGTTTTTCAGAGAGGAGCAGAGAGAAGTCATTCCAGGGGGTTAATCATCCTAGCTGGTTTGTAATCCAACTAATTGACTGGAGGGAGCAGGGGAAATCCAGATTGATGGATGGCAATGTCAGGGCTGCAGCAGAGGCTGCTGTTCTCACAGCAGGCTCAGGAGTCCTGGGGGAATTGCTAATTGTCCCATTTATGAATAAACAGCTTTAGCAGGGAAGGAACTGTGGGGAGACTTGTGTTAAACACGAGCATTAAAACAGCATCACATCCTGGCCACTGTCATGGCATCTGCTATTGCACAGCCCAGGGAGCAGCAGTGGCTTTCCTAACACCAGAGAGCCTTTCCTTGTGCTGCTGCTGGGCTTGGGAGCATTCTCAATTCTTTCATTTGTCACAAAAAAGGACAAGAGAGGAGCAGCCAGTGCCTGTGGTTTGTGTACCAGTTCAAGAGATACCTACACAAAGAATGAGGGTTTTGGTTTTGGGGATTCTGTTAAATGCTGCACTGCCAGTGCCAGATTCCATGGTTGTGGGAGCTCTTGGAACCCAATACTTCAGTGCTATTTCTTAGTTAAATTAAATTAATTTCTGCTATAAATGCACCTGTAGATATAAAATGTGTATACTGTAAATGCAGAAATTTATATCTATACCTATTTATATTAAAAATATATTTTTATATATAATATATATTTTATATACAAAATATATATTATATTTTATATCTATATATATATTAGTGTGTATGTATATATATATATATATATACACTAATCTAAAGTGAAGAAACTGAAATTTTCTCACCTTGCTAGGAGCTGAAGAAAAACATGAATCTTTTTAAGTAAGAATTAATAAATTCAAAATAAATAATAATTTATTAATACATTAATAAATTCAAATACTCCCAAGTGTGGGAGAAGCTTTATGGAAGATGGTCAGCAGTCTGTAAAGCAAACAAATAGAAACTGAGTCTGGTGTTCAGTGGGAATGTACTCATGGCAGTTTGTATATGTGTGTGTGTATATATATATATATGTATGTATATATGTATATATAAAAAATCTGATTTGCTCTTGACCTCGTGCATGCTTGTGGCCATTATTCTGCTGTGTTTTGAGAGCAGGACTTTAAAGCTTTAATAGATTTGTTATTTTGAATTTTCTAACTTTTTTGTCCCTGTTCTTGAAGCATTTTTCCTCCTCTCCTCCAGACGTTGCATTCATTTTGCAGCCTGTTGTGTGTGCCCTTATTTTCTCCCCCAAATGGCTCCTGGTGTAGAGCAGAAGGCACAATTTTGACATTTGCACGAACAGGTGGAGTTTGCTCCTCCACCCATGAAAAATGCCTGAGGTGGGATCAGAACTGCCCTGATCACTTGAGCATCACCCTCTATTCCCGTTATTTCCAACTTGCTCTCTGTTTTTGTGCTCTTTGTGTTATTTCCAACGTCCCCTCAGACATTGGGAGGTCTCTGTAGCTCTGTGGTTTTGGTGTACAGGGCTTCAGACTAGAAATATATAAATTAACCATGGTTGTAGCTCTCCTGCCTTAAACTCACGCTGCGATTTTTGTGAGGAGAGCTCATTTGTTTTGTTAGGAGAGCTTTCAAGATGCTATTTAAATTCTGCTTTAGCTCACTTCTGTGTCTGTTTAAAAATTCATGCTGCTGAGGGCGCTTTTAAAGCTCTGGGTGCATTTCCTGACTGATAGGTAGGAGCAGTAACTTCTGGCTACTGTTGAAAACTGAATTTTAGCGAGTAGATCAAGTGCAACTTGGTAACTTGGGGGATTTTATTAGAGATACTGTGTTGCTCCTCTGAGTTTTGATGGCTAAAAGTAACATCTGCAGGCTTGGAAACAAGTAGTGTTTCTAGTTAATAATTTTGGATATTTTGTTGTGTGCTTGGAGGAAGGCAAAGGCAAAAGATGCAATGATTTGTTGGCTGTGTCAGTAATTAGAAATTCTGAAGGCTGAGCCCATTTCCAGAGGTGCTGCTTCCTTTTATTTATAGATCCAGGGGTAAATAAGTGACTTCTCCATTGTGAACTTTTTCAGTTTCCTTTTTAGCAACAACAAAAAGATGAAATAAACTTATTTTCCCTGCAATGTGAGGGCTGCATTGCTTAGCACTGCCACTCTTGCTCTGAACATGCTGAACTCTGCCTCAGGTCTCAATTTCAGTTTCATTTAGAGGCTTGGTGGTTTTGCTGGACTATTTTTTTTTTTCTGTTTCCATTGCAGGAAGCTTTTACTTCTCAGCCCTCTTGCTTGCACAGAAGAGCTGCAATTTGTCAGCTTTCCACGCTCCATAAATTACTTCTTGCAGCAGTGGTTTTGCAGTTGTGTAAATAGATTATACTTGACATGGCAGGAGTGAAAAATAGCTTGTTGGTCAGGAGACAGGTAGAGGAATTGTCTGTTCCTTGGGAAGGGATTAATTAGGCTGAAGAGTCCATTTTTCACCAAAGAATCAAATTTACTAATGATGTTAAACCAGTCTATAAGGAGGGAAAATTCGGAGAGGTTATTTTCTAAATAAAATCAGAGCACTGCAAATGTTTCCACATTAGAGCACAGCTATGGAAGCTGCAGGATGAGTGAGGAGAAACAATTTTTCAGGCTGTGGACTGGATGTTTAAGGAGTGGCACAAGATATTTTTCTGCTTCAGCTGTGGGAAACAAATTGTTAATAAAGCTAGTTAAAATAAAAATATATCTGTAAAGAAAATGGGGTTAAGCAGGGAATACAATAAACTTTTTCCATAGAGCATGGAGGTGAAAAAAAGCTTTGGGAAGCTGCTCCATGTTTAATTGTTCTTCTGACAAGAGCTTAGGGGATGCTGGCTCAGCAGGATTTCATATTCTTCTCCAATGGTAGGACTCACTAATTTACACAGGAAAAAGCTCCCAGTGTTTAATGTCTCCTGGAAATGACCATGCATATCTCTGAAGGGGAAGGAAGTGCATGAAGAATGACTTGGAGGGGAAAAAAAAAAAAAAGAGAAAAAGAAAAAGGTTGGAATTTAAAGAGGAAAAAGTTGGAAAACATTTGTGTTAAACCCTGAACCAGAAAACCCTCTGGGATGAGGGGGGTTGATTCTCTAATCTCATCTTTGAGGCCTCTTGCACACATTCCTGCCCAGGGACAAGGAGATAGTGCAAAATGTGGAGCTCAAAATGGTGTGTGTGAGTCCTCTTTCTGGCACTTCCTTCTAATACAGCAGCACAGCACTTTTTTTTTTTTTTTTTTTTTTTTTAAACAAAACCCACTAGTGTGAAGTCTACATCTGCATTTAAATTAGAACATCTTAAAGAAAAGAACAGGCTCCAAAGCTGCCCACAAGAAAGGTTTCCTTGCCAGGCTCCAGCATATGAACACTAACTAACTGCTTATTACCCAAGAAGAAATTCATTATCATGCAAATGTTGTTGGAGGGGAGGAATGTGAATTATTTCTTTCTAATTTGGTTTTAAATTGCAGTTTAGGTGATAGTTTTGGAACTTAAGTAACACTTAGCATAATTGGCTTAAGCCTGCATTCATCCTCGTTTTCTTTCTGTCTAAAATTGGACCAACCTTCTTGAAAATCAATTTGCGGACAAATGCAAGATTTCAGATGATTGCATAATCAGGAAGGAAGATTTTCATTCTTCTTTCCTCTCAGAGCCTATAAAACTGTGGAGTTTTATGGGAGGCTGTGGATTTGCTGTTGTGGGTGGAATTACAAGCATTGGTTCATTTGTAGTAATTATCATTGGGAATGTGATGGATTTCTCCATGCTGGCAAAAATCTGCTGCTGCTACTTGGCAACTTTATCGTGTCTCTGGGGTGTTCAGGGCTGGGATTCCACATTTGGGATTTCTGGGGTTGGATTTGAGCCCATCCCACCCCCTGCCATGGGCAGGGACACCTCCCACTGTCCCAGGTTGTTCTTTGGGCACTCCCAGGGATGGCAGCTGAGCCAGGACCCTGAAATAAAGAATATTTTTCCTTAGAATAAAGATATTGTTAATATCTACTCTGAACCTGCCCCAGCTCCTTGTCAATCCCAGATTTGAGATGGTGAAGATGAATCATGAAATATGGGATGTTCCTTGATTTGGAGTCAGGGCTTTTGTGCTCTGTTTTTCTCTTTAACTCCTGCAAATAGCCCCTGAAAGACAATTTTTTTATTCCAGTGCACAGAGGACAAGATTAAGTATAATGAGAAATGTCCTGAGCAGTACATT